AACAAACAGGCCCCTCAGCTGCAGGTCTGTTGGAATTTGTTGGAGGTCCACTCCAGACCTTGTTTGCCTGGGTATCACCAGTGGAGGCTGCAGAACAGCAAATATTGCTGCCTGATCTTTCCTCTGGAAGTTTCAATCCAGAGGGGCACCTGCCTGTGTGAGGTGTCTATCGGCCCCAACTGGGAGGTGTCTTCCATTCAGTCTACATGGGGGTCAGGGACCCACTTGAGGAGGCAGTCTGTCTGTTAATAGACCTCAAATGCTGTGCTGGGAGAACTACTGCTCTCTCAGAGCCATCAGGCAGGACATTTAAGTTGTGGAAGCTGTCTGCTGCCTTTTGGCCAGATATGCCATTCCCCAAAAGGTGGAATCTAGAGAGGCAGTGGGCCTTGTTGAGCTGTGGTGGGCTCCGCCCAGTTTGAGCTTCCCTGCCGCTTTGTTTATGCTGTGAGCATAGAACTCACTCAAGCTGAGGCCCACTCAAGCCTCAGCAATGGTGGACGCCCTTTCCCCTACCATGTTCCAGCACCCCAGGTTGATCTCAGACTGCTGTGATAGCAGGGAGCAAGGCTCCATGGGCGTGGGACTCATTGAGCCAGACACAGGAGGGAAACTGCTGGTCTGCCAATTGTGAAGACTGTGGGAAAAGTCCAGTATTTGGGTAGGAGTGTACCGTTCCTCCAGGTATAGTTACTCACAGCTTCCCTTGGTTAGAAAAGGGAAATCCTCTGACCCCTTGTGCTTTCTGGGTGAGGTGATGCCCTGCCCTGCTTTGGCTTGCCCTCCATGGGCTGCACCCACTATCCAACCAGTCCCCGTGAGATGAACCAGGTACCTCAGTTGGAAATGCAGAAATCACTTGTCTTCTGCATTGTTCTCACTGGGAGCTATAGGCAGGAGCTGTTCCTATTTGACCATATTGGAAGTGTCCCATCATTTCTTCCGAAAATATTTAAGGTTATTGACAACCAATTATGTTTCAATAAAATCATGACAATTGTGACTTAAGAAAGATTTATTATAAGATGACTATAAAATACCATGAAAAATGTCAAAGTCAGATATAAATAGTACTGTTTTATCATCTGCCTGCCTAGAATTATTTTTCTCAACAAAGTACCTTACCCTATCCTTTTAAATGGTCTGTAAATTCTACTGCATTTCACCATGACTGGATCAGATGACATGGAGCAAATGGAATCCTCATAGCAGTCACATCATGTAGAATACTGACAAAATAACACAAGTGCTTCCACTTCTTCTTCCATATCCAGAACATATATTATATTTAATCATGGCACATGAGTTCAGTAACTTTGCAAATATCTTGAATGCTTTTAATAGTCTAGACCTGCACATGTGGCTAATTAAATTACAAATTTTAACAGCTCTTTGAGGGTTCATTGACATATGATACAGTTTGAATGTATCCCCCTAAAGTTCCTATGTTGGAAACCTAATTTCACATGTAAAAGTATCAAAAAGTAGGGCCTTTAAGAGGTAATTGGGTCATGAGGGTGGAGCCTTCATGAATGGATTAACACCATTATCATGGGAGTCAGTTAGTTCACCTGGAAGTGAATTAGTTATCATGGGACTTAGTTCTCATGAGAGCAGGTTGTTATAAAAGTGGGCTTGGCTTGTTACTGTGTTGCACACTGTCACTTGACTTTTAACTTTTCTGCCATATTATGATGCAGTACAAACGCCTTCACCAGAAGGTGCCATCATGCCTTTTCTAGCCTCCAGAACTATAAGCCAAATAAAATTATTTTCTTTATAAATTATGCAGTCTCAGGTATTCTGTTATAGCAACAGAAATGGACAAAGACAACATATAGTACACTGAACATATTTAAAGTTTACAACTTGATAAGTTTTGACATGTGTTTACATATATAAAAATCATCAGCCCAATCAAGAACATATCTGATATCTTCAAAAATCTCTTTGTGCTCATTTGTCATCTCTTCAGCTCACCTTTCCCTGCCTCTCCCCTGGTCTCCAGGCAACCTGGTGATATAAACCTTCTCTTCTTTGTATCATCATAGATTAGTTATTTTTTTTTTGAAGAACTTTAGATAAATGAAACCAAATAAAATGTACTGTTTTCAACTCAGCATAATTATTTCTTTGTAGAAAATTATAGAAAATAATTTCTTTGTGGAAAATAGAGATGTTTGAAGTTCTTTTTTCTCTTTTTTTTAAGATTGAGTTTTGCTCTGTCACCTAGGCTGAAGTGCAATGGTGCAATTTTGGCTCACCGCAACCTCCACCTCCCAGGTTCAAGAGATTCTCCTGCCTCAGCCTCTCAAGTATCTGGGATTACAGGCATGTGCCACTATGCCTGGCTAATTTTTGTATTTTCAGTAGAGGAATGTTTTTCACCTATGTTGGCCAGGTTGTTCTTCAACTCCTGACCTGAGGTGAACTGCCCACCTCGCCCTCCCAAAGTGTTGCGATTACAGGCATAAGCCACGGCACCTGGCCAGAAATTCTTGTTTTCCAGTTTGAATGTTTTAAATTTATTTTTGTTTTCTTGTTTCCTGGCTAAAGCCTCTAGTGCAGTGTAAAACAGAAGCTATAAGAGGAGATACCCTTCCCTAATTTCAGATCTTAGTAGGAAAGCATTCTGTTTTTCACTATTTAAAATTACATTAATGGAGGTTTTTCATACATGCTCAGGTAGAGAGAAATTCCTTCTACTCTTATTTGGTGGAGTTTTTTTGTTTTTTAAATCAGGAATGGATGTTGAATTTCAACAAATACTTTTCTACATTTACTGATAGAAACATATTTTTTTCCTTTGCCTGGTTTGATAATGTGGTAAATCACATTGATTCATTTTTGAATATCAAAACAAGATTTATTCCTGGGATAAATCCAATTTAATCATGATGTGTTGTTCATTTCACACAATGTTGAATTTAATTTACTAAGAACTGGCCAGGAATTTTTCCATGTGTGTTCATAAGGGATATTGGTCTGTAATAGTATTTTTTAATATTTTTTTCCAGCTTTGACAAACTCATAAAATGAGTTGTAAGTATTCTCTTCTTTTCAATTTTCTAGAAGAAATGAACAATTTGTGTCTGAATGTTACTTTTCTAGTTTTTAAAATGCTTGATAGACCAGTGAAGCCATAAATTCCAGGCTTGAAGTTTTCTTTGTGGGAAAGTTATAACTGGAAATTCAATTTCTTCATAAGATAAAGGGCTATTATGGTTATCTATGTCTTCTTGAGTGAGAATGTGGATCTTTCAAGGAATTTGCCCACTTTACTTAAGTTGTCAAATTTAGTGTTGCAAAATTGTTTATTAAATTTAGTGTAAAAAGTAATTAAAGTTAAATTAAATGTAAAATTCTCAATCACACTAGCAGATATTGAGGATAATTCTCAATAAATATCTATGGCTCTTTGCTCCTATATTGGACAGCACAAATATAGAACATTACCATCACTGTAGAAAAGTTCTATTGGCAGCTCAGGAGATGACTGTTAACAGTTAATATAAGTGGCATGTATGATAAAACTCATTCTTATATGTTATTAATTAAGGTTTAAGATTGGGAATAAGTCAGCTCAAGCTAAGAAGTGAGATTTGTCCCGAAAATCAATTCAGTCCTAAGAAGGTTTTCATTTTTAATAATACTTTTAATCTGGAAGGTAGAAATTAGATCCACATACTTATTTGCAGAGATTAAATTCCCTTTTAGTATAGGGTTTATCTAAGTAGACAGTACTTTCTGCATTCAGTAGGGCAAGTTTCAGAGTGAAGATGTCCTCTCCTACTTGGCTTGGTGAAGCCTAGAAAAGAGGGAAGTATGTTTAAAACAAAAAACCATCACCATAGATCTTCTAATAACCAAGTTCTATCCTTTGAGAAAACATGTGACTCTCTGTGAGTATTTTGTCGTTCTGTAAAGTCTTTTTCACAGAGAATTTTTCTGACTCATTGCTGAAAAAGATAGTTTGGTATGTATTTTTACTGAAATATGGACATGCTTTAGCTATCCTGAAACCTGCAAATCAGAATTTCCATGGTGAAACCATCACTTGTTACAGGGATTGATATTTTAATGGGTTAGGGAAATTCAGAAAGCTGCCCTGAGAAGAGTTTCCTCTTTGTTTTGCTTGCATTTCTAAATGATTTGGTTCAAGTGGTTTGCCCTGTTGATGAGTATGTGTTCTAATTGTTCACACCAAAGCAGAGATAATCAATTAAAAGTAACATCTTGACCTAAAGAGTTGGTGTTTTTTCAGGACTGGTCTTGTGGGAATGGAAAAAATATCTTTACAGTTTAGGATTGGTGAGAACCTTTATTGATAGCTTTGTTTTTTAGCCACCCATATTTTTGTGCCCAGGAGGTTAGCTCTTAAAAACTGAGTATTTATTTTTCGTGGTGTTGGGTCATTTAGAGCTTATTTGGGACAAAACAGATTTGGGCTTGAATGTCCTTAGCTATGTTATTCAGTGGATCTGACCCTCAATTCCTGAACTCTAAAATTGGTGATTAAACAATCCTTATGAGAAGATAGTAAAAGCATACTAATTACATGCCTGTAACTTACTATCACACAGATTTGTATCCATAAAGTTAGATCTGCCAATTTCTTAGTAAGTTGATCTTGTAAGCATATAAACCTAAGTGTCCTCATTTGTAAGTGATTTGTTTTATGCGACCACCGGAGCAGGCGCCAGACATGAGGCAAGTAGGCAAGGTAAAAAAGCTTTATTAGCTAGCCAATGTGAAGGAGGAAGGGGCGACGTTCACCGGTCTCCGGCTGTTCTCGGGTGAGCTTCCCGGGTCCGCGTAGGAGCAGGGACCGAGGAAGTTCGCGCCGGACAGCTACCGGGAGCGGCTTTTTATGTCTAGGGCCTGGGAGTGGGCGGGCAGTAGGCGGGACACCGGCGTGTCGGGGGGCGTTCCGTAGGCGCGGCCAGGTAGGTTTCGGTTTCCTCGTTCGGACGTCACGTTGCGCCTGCGCAGTTGGTCTGCATTTTTCCCTGGGGCGGGCTGCATTTTCCCGCGGGTGGGTAAGTTGATGATGAAGAACCCGGAAATGCGCCATCTTAGTCGTCTTTGTCCTCTCCTCCCCGTCCAGACAGTAAGTAAGCACACACACACACACATCATATATAATCATATTGCTGTGAAGATTAAATGTAATAGCATTTGTAAAGTACTTAGTACAGTACCTAGTTTAAAAAATAGAATATGTCCTTGTTTTTATCAGTAGCTTATTGGCAAGTAGATAACATACTGTAACTGAAATTTAATAAATGCTTGACAAATTTTCCTTCCTTTCATTCTCCTAATCTAACCCATTACTTTTAATTCAAGTTTTGCTTTATTAAAACCAAATACATTCAGCTCTTTATATATTTTTCTTTTACTTTTCATATTTTGCTGTGTTTCTTTTTTTTTCTAGTCAGATTAGACTAATTGCTTACAGAAAAATCCAGATATTATTTTACGGGTATCCAAATTTGGAATTTTAGACTTCGTCTATATGAAATTGTTTCAGCAATTTTTATCTATACATAACTATACATTGCAGAAATTGTTTTAAAAAGCAGTGCCTAAGCAAGTCACACATGGAACATAGGAGAATGAAGGATAAATACTATTGAACTATTACTTATAGAGTATAGTAACAAAACTGTTGTAGTTTAGTTTGCAATGTTTGAGACAAAAGACATTTTCACTTAGGATTCCTGTCCAGTTAACAAGTGACATTTAGGGATGTCAAACTGCGTTCCTATTATCAAATATTACAGAATATTTATTGAGATGATGAATATAGATCAGATGATCAGGTTAAAGAGGGAGCTGCAGTTTCATTAAATTACTTCTATGCTGTCAGAGAAAAGAGAAAGTTGGAAGAATTACACTCTATAGAAACCAATGTTCAATATTATAACTAGCAGAAAAGTTAAGCAAGTGCATAATCAAATAATGAGAATGTCAGATGAATAGTTACAACATGAACAGAACATATGGGGACCAGGATTTATATTGGATGCAAGTCTTTTAATTTCTCAGGCTTGTCAAACTCTTTCATTAATAAAAATCCATAGTCACTCACAATTTTAAAGTTTATTTTGAGTAGATTTCCTTGGTTATTGTACAATAATACAGTATAGTGTTATGTTTACACTATACTGCAGTCTATTCAGTACATAATAGCATTATATCTTAAAAACAATGTAAATAATACAACATTTTTAAGATTCATTTTTTCTTAATGAATCGTTTTGATTTTCATAAAGTTTCAAATGAAACAGGTTTTCTACACATTAGTATAAAGATATGCTTGACTTGGTGGACCCTACAAACTTGTAATAGCAGTTCTGGTGCTTCATTATGTATATTTTTAAGTAGTCAACTTTACTAGTAAGGAAATACATTTTGAAATAAAACAATATGCTTTCTTAAGTTATGAAATTTGCAAAAATTATTTTTAAAGATTTTTTTATGTATTTAAAAAATAAATTCACTATATACTTAATATAATAAATATATAAATAAATAATTGCAATAAATTTGCTATGTATTAATGTAAATATGATATATAAATTTATAGTAATATAAATAATACATAAGTTACTATACATTAGTATAAATGATCACAAATTAAAATGTATGAAATATATACACTATATCATACATGCTTATTTATAATAAATATTAAATATTGGGAAAAATATCAGAATATTAATAGTGACTTTTTGTAGTTGGAGGCATTATAGGAATATATGATAAATAAATAATCTTTATAAATTGTTATGTTTTCGACAGGAAAACGATGTGCTTATTTAAAATATAAAGAAGCAAACATTCTTAGAGAAAGGAAGCGGGAGTGCAGGAGCAATTCCAGTGGTCTAAGTAGGCACAACAGGTAATCAGTACACTTTTCAGAATGCCGTTTTATCTAGGTTGATTTCCCTTATGAATCTTCTAAACCTTGCACATGTTTACCTTTGATTGAGTATAAGCAGAAATTTAGTTTCCTGGAAGAAATGGCTTTGCCTGATGATATGGTTTGGATCTATGTTTCCACCCAAATCTCATGTCCATTTGTAATCCCCGGTGTTGGAGGGGGAACTAGTGGGAGGTGATTGGATCATGAGGGTGGATTCTTCATGAACGGTTTTAGCACTATCCCCTTGGTACTGTTCTCCTAACAGATGTCTCACAAGATCTGGTTGTTTGAAAGTGTGTAGCATGGGGCCCCACACTCTCTCTTGCTCCTGCTCCCATGACGTGAGATGCCTTGCTCTGCTTTTGCCTTCTGCCATGATTGGAAGTTTCTTGAGGCTTCCCCAGAAACAGATGCAGCTATGCTTCCTGCAAGGTCTGAAGAAATGTGAGTCAATTAAGACTAGCCTGACCAACATGGTGAAACCCCGTCTCTACCAAAAATACAAAAATTAGCTGGGTGTGATGGTGGGTATTTGTATCCCAACTACTTGGCAGGCTGAGGCAGGAGAATCGCTTGAACCTGGGAGGAAGAGGTTGCAGCGAGCCGAGATCACGTCATTGCACTCCAGCCTGGGTGATAAAAGCGAAACTCGGTCTCAAAAGACAAACAAACACTATTTTTTTAAAAATAAATTACCCAATCTCGACTGTTTCTTTACAGCAATGAGAGAACATACTAATACACCTGATCTTCTATAATCTAAGAGGAAGGAAAGCTGGTATTAAAGAGCTTAAAGCCCGGCCAGGCCCCAGGAACTTTGCTAGTGTAGCAGACTGACAATATCTTAGGTAATTGCACAGCTCTTGCTGCTCTCAATCTGTTTTTGCATCCAAAGGGCTATGATATTGCACCTGATATTTGAGGCTTTTATCATTCCAGTTTGGCTTTACAAACTTTCTAAATTGGTATATAAGGTGGGAAATTCTGGCTTGAACAGCCATCCATTATTATCCCAGACATATTGTGGTTGCTGCCGGTAATGATTCCTGAGCTGTTCTATTAAAGGCAAGGTATTACTGCGCAGTTTATGATAGTAGTCTTGCTGAAACAAGCAAATACCTTCTATTATGCTAATGTTCTATTTATATAACAAATAGCTGGCCTCTGGTTCTGCTTTGTCCTCTTATGTGTGTCTGGGCTATTGGGTTTGCATGTTGGTGAATATTTTTAGGCTCCTTAAAGCAGCCAGAACAGCAGTCGGTGCAGGATCATCCTGACAGCCTGTTTTAGATCTTGATACCTGATGCTTTCTCTGAGTGCTTTAGAAAAGCAGCATTTATAATTTCCATCTCTAATATAGTCATAAAAATCTGACGTATCTTTTCAGAAGAGAGCTTTGCTATAAAAAGGGAAAATTGAAGTAAATGAAGTCAGGGAGGTTTTTGAGCCATCAAGTAAGATGTTGTATACCATCATGACATTTCAACCCACAACTTGGTGCTAAATCATATCAATTGAGCTGATGAGCTGTGTCTGCATAAAAGTAAGAATACTAAGCTAGTCAAATGCCTTTCTAAGAACTTGCCTTATCACAGTGTATTTTTCCAAGCACCTAATTAAGGGCATTTATTTCTCATGGTTGCAGTAAAAGTGGAAGTATCAATAAAGACCAATTGTTTATTAGAATTTGCTCAATGTTGAGCAGAGAAACTTGCAGAAATCTTAAACTTCATCCATTTAGGTATTCATAAAAGCTTCAGATGCCTTCATAATTGGAAGCTTATTGCAATTAAATACCAATAGATTCTTTCTTTGCGTGATTGCAGAAAGAAGGATTAACAGAAATGGAAAACAAAAAAGATTATACTGCATAAACTAATTGTTAATGTACTTGCTCTGCTGTGTTAGTGACTAGCAGCTTTGTTTTGCCTCCAACTGTCCCTTTCCAACTATATTCATGAGGGAAAATATTTCCATGCATTTGGATTAAAACTTACAAAATTCCTCTGACTTTTCTCCTCACACTGAGATAATAAATAGATTTATAACATCTTAAAGTCTTGAATCTAGCTTTAATTTAGAGATTAGATTAGATAGCCAAGTCCAAGATTTTAATTACACATTTCAATAGTGATTCAAAGGTCAGTGTCCTCCCTCCTGCCTATACCCCCGAAGTAAAGACTGAAGTTGTCTATAGGAATGGTGATACAGCCAGGTCTTTCTCCTTTATTCCACTCACCTCTTTTGTCCTTCATACAAGAGTGGGAAAAGATAGCATGGGAACCACAGGCTCCTGGTCCCCCAATGCTAAAAATCACTAACATGATTAACAGGAGAAAAGGCATACAAATGTATTTAACGTAGATGCATGAAAATCTAGTTTCCCAACGAGTTACAGAAACTTAATGTACCATTTTGAGGTTATGGAACGAATAGGGGCTTTTATTCTGGCTAGCAGAGGTGGTCTTGTTATGTAGTGAAGCCTCCCCTAGAGAGAATAGATGGTAAATGTTTCTTTTCAGTCTTTTAAAGGTGTCAGACTCTCAATCCCTCCTGGATCTGGGGGAAGGTATAGAAAGGGGGCATGACTGTATTCATGGAGATTATCTATAGATAGAAATTTTCCTCACTTAATTCAGCTTTGCAGGGCCACTTCTGTCAGGATGGCTAAGGGCAGGCATTTCAAAATATGTCAAAGGAATAGATTTTTTTTTTTTTTTAAATTTCCTTCAATAGGAAGAGGAGGTGAGAGGATAAGGCAATTTTAAATCATATGACATCTTTGTGTGAAACAAAAATGTTCAGTGTGATGATGAATCCAAAGTTGTATTACTGGCTTGGATTTCTTCCTTAATCTCCAGACTCATATTTCAAACTGCATACTCAGCATGCTCATTTGGATTTCTAATACTCATCTTAAATTTAAGTGTCCAAAGCTCAACCAGTACCTTTCCCCTAAAACTTCTTCCACCTCCAGTCACTCAGTCTCAGGGAATCATCTTCCCAATTGTTGAGTCTTTGGAGTCATCCTTGATTCTCCTTTTCATATATCCAATTTTTCAGGAAATCTTGCGGATGCTACCTTCAATATACATCCAGAATTCACAACTTCTACTGCTGCTAGTGGACTCCAAGCTACTACCATCTCTCATCTATATTATTTTCATCTACCCATTCTCATTGTCTCTACCCTTGTCCTTTTGAGCTTAATTTTAGAAGCTAGTGTGATCCTTGCTTAAAGCTATGAAATGACTCTTTGTTTTACTCATAACAAAAGTCAAAGTTGTTAGAATGAACTATAAAGCCCAACACAACCTGGTCCCCACGATCTCTCTGATGTCATCTATGATTAGGTTTCCTTGCTGTATTAGCACAGCTACATTGGCCTTTTTCTTGTTCCTTAAGAATACCAGGAAAATTTCCATTATTTGGGTGTTTGTGCTAGCTGTTTCTTCTACCTGTGTGCTTACCTTCATAGCTCACTTCATTATCTCCTTCAAACCATTCCTCAAATTGTTACCGTCTTTTACTAATGATGCCTACTCTGTCTACCCTGGCATTCCTCATTCTCCTTAGTCTGACCTTTGTTTTTTTTTTTTTTTTTTTTTAATTTTTAAATTATATTTTAAGTTCTAGGGTACGTGTAAACAACATGCAGATTTGATACATAGGTGTAGATGTGCCATGTTGGTTTGCTGCACCCATCAACTCATCATTTACATTAGGTATTTCTCCTAATGCTATCCCTTACCCCAGCCCCCCACCCACCTACAGGCCCTGGTGTGTGATGTTCCCTGCCCTGTGTCCAAGTGATCTCATTGTTCAATTCCCACCTATGAGTGAGAACATGTGGTGTTTAGTTTTTGGCCTTGTGATAGTTTGCTGAGAATGATGGTTTCCAGCTTCACCCGTGTCCCTGCAAAGGACATGAACTCATCTTTTTTTTATGGCTGCATAGTATTCCATGATGTATATGTGCCAAATTTTCTTAATCCAGTCTATCATTGATGGACATTTGGGTTGGTTCCAAGTCTTTGCTGAAATAAACATACATGTGCATGTGTCTTTATCACAGATTGATTTATATTCCTTTGGATAAATGTCCAGTAATGGGATTGCTGGGTCAAATGGTATTTCTAGTTCTAGATCCTTGAGGAATCGCCACACTGTCTTCTAAAATGGTTGAAGTAATTTACACTCCCATCAACAATGTAAAAGCATTCCTATTTCTCCATATCCTCTCCAGCATCTGTTGTTTCCTGACTTTTTAATGATTGCCATTCTAACTGATGTGAGATGGTATCTCATTGTGGTTTTGATTTGCATTTCTCTGATGACCAGTGATGATGAGCATTTTAGTTCATGTGTCTGTTGGCTGCATAGACGCCTTCTTTTGAGAAGTGTCTGTTGATATCCTTTCCCCACTTTTTGATGGGGTTGTTTTTTTCTTGTAAATTTGTTTGAGTTCTTTGTAGATTCTGGATATTAGCCCTCTATCAGATGGGTAGATTGCAAAAATTTTCTCCCATTCTGTAGGTTGCCTGTTCACTCTGATCGTAGTTTCTTTTGCCGTGCAGAAGCTCTTTAGTTTAATTAGATTTCATTTGTCTATTTTGGCTTTTGTTGTCATTGCTTTTGGTGTTTTAGTCATGAAGCCCTTGCCTATGCCTATGTCCTGAATGGTATTGCCCAGGTTTTCTTCTAGGGTTTTTATGGTTTTAGGTCTTACATTTAAGTCTTTAATCCATCTTGAATTAATTTTTGAATAAGGTGTAAGGAAGGGATCCAGTTTATGACCTTTGCTTTTATGTTTGTCTCCACCATTAGAATAAAAGTTCTACAAGGGCAAAAATTTGTGTCTACTGTGTACTAATGTATCTTTAGCACCTAAAATATTATTTAACATAATAAACTCAATAAACAATTATATATTGAATTGGGTGATGTACACTTTTGGATTATTGGAAGCTTCCTGA